TGGGAATTTTGGTTAAGGCAGAGGTCAGAACTGAGGACTTCCTTACTTGGTTATTTTAAGGCTTTTCTTTTTAGTACCATGGAGGAGCTGGTTTAAAATGGGCAGTTATTTCATAGGAGTTGAATGCTCAAACCCTAAACTCCTCTGATTTGTCTTGTGCTGAATATGTCATTTTCTCTTTGAATTTTTGTGATAAGACGAGTGCACAGTAATTGGACCTAAAAATGCATCCAGATTATAGCATCTCATCAGAATTAGCTGACAACATAATTATGATTTTATTTCAGGATACAAGATACTTTTTTTTCATATTAGTCCACTATAAAAACAGAAAGTGCTTCCTTTATTATTATTTTGGCAGACTGACCATTCTTGACATTTGCGGGATGCAGCCTGGTCTGGCGTTCTCTGTGTGCTTTGGGATGTGCTGTCCATACCCTGCCTTACGGCCGTCTCCAGACTGCACGTTAGCCTGGGAGGCTCCCCGAGATCAGGCTGAAGAAGGGGCACCGTGCTGTCTGCTCTGGGCTTCAGGGACAGACTGTCTTAAATACAGGACTGCAGTGTTAGTGCAGAACCGAGCCCACCACTTGCACGGCTTCTTCCCGGCCTTTTGGCTGTGTGGTTTTGTGTTTCCGCCAGTGCTGACCCTGGACAGGCCTTGCAGCATGGTGGAGACCCTGGGCCTGGGTCAGGGAATTGGGTTCTGCCTGTCTCTCCCTGACTGGGAGGCTGACAGGCGGTGAGCCTCTCTGAACCTCAGTCTGTGGGCTGCATCTGTGGGCTGCTGCCCCACAACAGAGAGGTGGGGGTGTTGAAGGGGGTAATGGTGGTGCTTGGGGTCTGGAGCCCATGCCTAGTGCACTTGAGGGTGTAAGATCCTTCCCAGGACTGCCTATTCAGGACCTGGCTGCCTTTAAGAGAGAGTTAAGTGCCACTTTCCAGAACCTTCCAAGTACTACAGCTCCTCCAGGGCTCTCTCCCAGACTCTCTCCTGTCCTCTGTCCCTTTGTCCCCTGTCCTTATTGTTTCACCATGTGTTTTGGTGCGCACATTTGTTAAATGCCTTCCATATGCCAGGCTGGGACTGCGGCCTCGAGTAAGATGGTGTGTTTGCCTGAGGGCTCAGAGCTGCCCCCCCAGAACTGTGTCAGTCTTGCTGTGTGGTCCTGTACCTTGCTGTTTGTTTTTCCTTTTGAGATGTGGTCTTACTATTTTGCTCAGGCTGGTGTTGAACTCCTGGTTGCTGACAATCCTCATGTTCTGGCCTTCCGAAGTGCTGAGATTACAGGCGTGAGCCCCCAGGCCTGGCGGGGCCCTTTCTTTGGGTAATGCAGGCCTTTTCCAGGCCTGTGGAGAGTGACTGCTTTCTAGAAATTGCAGCCTTGATCTGAGCCCTGTGTGTGACTCTTGGGCCACTCTGTGGCAGTCTCACACCCTGAGGATCCAGGGCTTCGCTTCTCCTTCTGTTCACGCTTTTTAGGAGCAGCTCCTCCTCCGTCACCTTGAGGGGCCTGTCTGTGTCTAAGGGTGGGGTCCATGGCTTGCTGCTGGCTATGGTCCCCTGCCACTAAATTCCTGTGTTGGAATCTGTCCCCAGGTGAGATGGTGTGAGGAGATGGGGGAAGGTCATCAGGTCACGGGTGTGGAACTCCTGTGACCGGGATTTGTGCCCTCATGGGTGAGGCCCCAGAGAGCTGCCTTGCCCCTTCCGCCATGTGAGGGCACAGTGAGAAGGCACCACCTATGAAGAGAAAGGACCCTCCCAAGAGACAGCCTGCCAGTGCCTTGGTCTTAGGCTTCTCAGTCTCCAGACTGTGAGAAGCAAAGCTCTGATGTTTACACCTCTACCCCCGTTATTGTCCTTGTTACAGCAGCCTGTCTGGACAGACCGTGTCCTTTGGATGGTTTCAGCTTCTCCACACTTCCCAGCTTTAGGCTGGAGCACCCCCCAGGGAGCTGACTGCATTTCTCTACCCTGGTCTTCCTAAGCCTGCACTAACTGTTCCTGGGGGCCACTTCTGCTCTGATGCCCAGACCACTGGCTCTTGCCCACCAGACCAGTTCTTGCTACCGTTAGGGGACATCTGCCTCCCTCCCATTTGCCCTCGCTCTTTGCACACCTCCATCTCCAGCCTTCCTCTCTGCTCTCGTCCCTGGGCAGGCTATTTAACTTCATTCCTCCTGGGGCCATGCAGGGTTCATGGGGCAGGATGTAGGGGAGTGGAGGGAGCTCAGATGTGTTGGGCCTTCACTGCTAGACCAGCTCTTTCCAGCCCAGCTTACTCAGGCGTTTGCTCTGGTCTGGGCTTCCCACTCTCAAGAATTGCCAGTTCCCACTCAGATGACTGAGCTGGACCTTGAGAGCTGTTCCTATGGGCACAGGTCCCCGTGCTGTCAGCACACTCCCCACTCATTTACTTTGCTCCTGTGTCCACATCTCCTTCCTCTCCATGTCTGCCCTCCTGCGTTGGAGCGTCCCTGCCCTGTGGCACTGAGATCTGGCCATCATTTGGCTGAGAAGCCTCTCCTGCCTGTGGCAGCCCTTCTGGGTCAGGGTCCTTGCTGCTGCGCCCTGTCCCACGGTCTGCCTCACACAGCTGAGCGTGTGGTTACAGGCAAGTCATCCTAGATCCCCTGTGTGTCTGCCTCCGCCTCGAGAACCCTGGGTCCCTTTGCCCTGCCAAAGAGAGCTGGACATGCAGACGCGTGCTGACTGATGACACATGGCTGAGGCCACCCTGGGTGCTCAGGCCCTCAGGCTCTGTGGAACAGCTGGCGGGTAGTTTATTTCCAGAGGTCTCCAGCCCTTCGTCACATGCAGATGAGAAGTAGTTTATCTATTTAATCTTCAGTTGCTACTTGGTGTGCCTTTGAATTAGGAGACCCCTCATGAGAACTCGGTGGTCCCCAGAACCTCTGCTCTGTTCAATGTCACAGAATTCCCCTTTTCCTGGGAATGTCCTGGGAACAGGGAATACTTGTAAGTCATTGGAGAAACAGTTTAGTAAAACCTGTAAGATGGTACTGTCCTGTAACAGGTCTGTGCAGTGAGATGCCGGCTACCTCTAGGGGGCCTGGGCCTTGTGCCTGCTTCTTCTCTGTCCCTGGTGCCCAGGGTAGCTGCCTATGGTCGCTGCTCAGCAGATGCTGAAATGAACAGTTTGACATTGTTATGTGACTTTGGGATTCTCTTTCTCGTAATGAGTGTCACTTCAGATGTGACCACATGTAGAGTCCTGCGTATTTTAGCTGTAACATGTAGTAACTCAGCTCCTGGTCTACAGCCAGACAGACCTGTGTCAGATGCAGGCAGGAGAGAGTCTGGCCCTGCTCCTGACCACACGGACTGAGCAGGGTTCTCAGCCTCAGTCTCCTCACTTGTATTGTGGGGTCACAGATCCCTTCCTGCCCAAATCACTGGATTGTTGTAGGATCAGCAGGAAGTGTGTTGAACATGACATGGCTTCATAGAAAGAAAAGCGTTAGTGAGAACTGTTGGGAAGCAGTCTGGGTTCCTTAGGAATAAACATTTCTTGAAAAATAAAATACCGACTGGCGGTATTCATGAGGGTTTTGCACTGATGAAGCAGTGTTCTGCTTTGTTAAATTTCGATTTCATATGTTGTTTGGTAGAAGAGAATTCTCTGAGGCCATTACCGTCCCTGCTTGTTCATGGTGTAAGCCTTTTTGTGAATCCAGAGAGGAGCTCACTCCCGTGGCCATGGTGCCTTGCAGGCCTCTGCCCCCACCCCGTAAGAGGAGGAGAGAAATTGGAGCTGACTGGGGGAGGGGTGAATTGGAAGGTGGGGACCAAGAGAGGTTTTTGTTTTGGGATTGGAAAATAAGAGCGTGTTTGCAGGCCAACGAGAAAGGTCCATTCAAGGGGAGAAGCCAAAAAGACTGGAACTAGGGTGGCCGGGTGGGTGGGAGGGGCCCTGCACACATGTGCTGTGTGCCCTTTGTCCACTAGCCTGCCCAGGGAGGGCTGTGGGAGCAGTCTTCTCAGTGCAGGCAATAAGGTATGCATTCCTCTTCTTTTTTATATAAGAAATGCAAGGTATGGCTCTATGGAGCAGGCTGGAGTGCAGTGGCATGATCATGGCTCAGTGCAGCTTTGAACTCCTGGGCTCCAGGCATCCTACCACCTCAAGCTCCTGAGTAGCAGGGACTACAGGTGGGAGCCATGATGCTGGGCTAACCTTTTACAAAAGCTTTTGTAGAGATGAGTTGTCCCTATGTTGCCCAGGGTAGTTCTGAACTCCTAGCTTCTAGTGATCTTCCTGCCCCAGCCTTCCAAACTGCTGGGTAATTAACAGGTGTGAGCCACTATGCCTGGCCTTGATCCTGAACTTAGTCTTTTGTATGTACCTATAATTATTTTATCAGACTCAAAAATCTGTATTGTTTTCCTCTCATTGTGCTTTCTTATATAGTACGGTGGGATGGACATAATGAACTATTAGTAAATATCTGTGAAGGATAAAAATGCTTTAAGTAGGAATTAAGTGGCTGAAAAATAGGCATAGATTCCTATCTTTTCATTGAAAGGGGTCTTGGCTCTTTAGAAATGGGATTTTGGTCAATTTTTCCTTGCACCTAATTTGAGAGTATCTGGCAGGAATATTTAATTGCTAGCTGTGCAGTCGATTCATTTGAGGAGTAGGATTTAATTTCCTAAGTTGCACGTTTGTTTTTCTCTTGGCCGTTCCTGAATTGGAATCTGGGCTGTTGAGTAGATTTGGGTAACAAAGAAGTCCATATTATACCCTGTCCAGAAGGACAGAGGTTTTAAAATAAGAAGAAAGAACTTTCTGGCACCGGGATCCCCCTGAAGATGGCAGTGAGCTGCTTGGCGTGGAAGTGTCCACCAGAAGGACAGCATTGGGGAGCCTGGTGATTGCTCAGAGGGGCGTCCTTCGGTGCTTTGTTTGCAAGGAGAAGTAATAATTGTGTATGTGGAGATGAGATTAACACATTTCCCTTTTTATGTCTTACAGAAAACACGCCCATCTTCATGTGCAAATGTTGTAACCTTTTCTCACCAAGCCAGTCGGAGCTGCTCTCCCACGTTTCCGAGAAGCACACAGAAGAAGGGGTTAATGTTGATGAGATCATTATTCCCCTTCGGCCTCTGAGCACTCCTGAACCCCCCACCCGAAGCAAAGCTGGAGATGGTAAGGGGCTAAGGGTGGGCAGGGCCCCTGTTGACGCTGATGTGCTCTCAGATACTTTGGTGCCATCTCCCTGTTTTGTGGGCATAGCAGAAACCGAAGTTCCACATCTCTGACCCAGAAGTGACAATAGCTGTGCAGTTGTAGATCTGCTCAGATAAGGGTGTGTCTCTGAAGTCCCCAGACCTGGCCACGTAGGTCCTCCAGTGCCTGGCTGGGAATCCATGAATGAGTAAAAGGAAGGAGGTGGCAGGTCCAGCAGCGTGAAAGCCACGAACTTGTGAGACAAGTGCAACTTGTAGCTCTAGCACCTACTAGCTACATACCGGAAGCAAACGATGTCACTTCTCCAGTCCTCACTTTGCTTGTCTAAAAAATGAAGACCAGACCAATCTGCTAGTTACAAGGAGGTCTGTGAGGATTAAGTCAGAAAATTACCTGCAGCCCTAGGGTGACGCCTGGCACACAGGTGACAATAAAGGCAGAGTGTTGTGCTCGCATCCGTGATTAGTAAATCAGTATGTATAGTCACAGAAACAACATTTCCAAACTGGTCGTATAAATCTAGAATAAAGATCCAAATTCAAAGCTTTGATTGAGACAGACTCGTTCTGGAGGTTCACGGTCTAGGTGCAGAGGCAGATCCATCTTGTCTGCAGCATGCAGACATCTCCTAGCGCGTGGCATCAGATGTAGCAGGTGCATGGAGAAGCCATCAGGCACTGTAATTAGGTCTCCACAGACAGAAAACACATCGTACAGGTGGAACAGTTGCAGAAACCCCCACAAAACTACGTTCATATGATGAGGGACAGCAGCCAGTCTCTCGTGCAGAAGCCCAGCAGATAGCAGTAGATGTCCCATTGTAGGATTCATTAGTCACACTCATAATCCAGTTGTTCTTTCCAGGGAATATTCAGACTGGCATTTGTAAACATGCCGGCTATTGATCATCTGTCGGATGCTGTTAACAAGGAGCGATTCCAGACAAAAATTGTGTCAGTTAACAAGTCCCTCTGGCCATTCCCAGGTGCTTGGAGAAATATGCCTGACAGAGGATTAAGTTGTTGGGAAGTTCTGCTAGTTACTCTTCATGGCATAAAGTGAAAAAACTAAGAAGATGCAGCCCCTGAAATGAGTACTGGCCCAAAAGGGGGAGTGATTAGTGTTTGTGTCCTTGTTACCGTTACCTAATATTGGTGGTGTGTCCACAGTGAGCCTCAGCACCTCGTGGGCCTGTGACCAGACTTGGTCTTTCCCAGTTTAGAGAAAGTGTGAGTGAATGGGGGCAATTCTAAGTAACCTCATCTCAACCCCACAGCACACATTTATTTGGTACAGGGAGAGAGGAAAGCTTATGTGGTCAGAATCTGCCTAGTGCTGGGGGCTCACAGCCCAGCACCCTCCTTCTGCCCGTCCAGGCTGGGTGTTAGTGGCCTCTGGGTCCTGACCCCGGGGGAGGTACTTCCTGACATCCACAATCCCCGTGGCCATCTCCCTTCTGAGCAGTGAAGGACCTTGGGTTTCTGAAGACTGTAGCTTCGCAGGTAGAGGGAAGCAAGACTTCCACCAAGACCTTTGAGTGTCTGTGTACCTGCCTCCGACATTGAACATATTTAAACTCAGAAAACTGGCAATTTCCGCTGCAGATACCTGTGGCAGATAGAAGTTGTGTATCAACATGGAAAAAACTTTGAGAATGGGTCTTAGAAAGTTTTTAGTTCTGTTTTTATCCAGCTTTCCTTAAGATTTTCTTCTTTCTAAAATAAGATGTGAATAAGAGAGAAATTTATTATTCCCTTTATAAATTAGAAATGAATGAATGATACAGTAGAGAGAATGTCCACAGGAAATCGTGTGTTTTTTGTAAGGTGCATGTTCTGACTTCCAGTCTCTCCTGCTCACTACTGTTGATGAGATGTCATGTCACCCACACAGGGGCTCCCCCGAGTGCCTCTCCCTTCCTCAATGCCCGTTGCTCCCTTTGCCTTCCTCATACTCACCCCCACACACCCATTTCTTCCCTCTCATCACGGTCTGCAATACGACCAGATGCCAGGCCACTCCCCTGCCTGCCTTACTCCTGTGTGGGCCTGGGACTCCTTCAGATTGTGGTTGTCTTGAGGGACTCATCATTGGCCCCAGGTGGGGCTAGTGGTCCTTTCTGTGAGCTTTTAAGACTCAAGGGAACCAAGATTTCCACCAAGACCTTTGAGTGTTTGTGTACCTGGGATGCATCTCAGTTCTGTCCTTCCTGGTTTCACTTTCACTGTCTGTGTCTCTGGCTTGTCAGGGGATGCCCCGAGGAAGGGACTCGGGCTTTCTCAGCTCTTAGCCTCAGGTCCTGGCACAGGCCTGGGTCACGATACAGCCCCTTCCCTTTGTGTTGACTGAATGCATTACCTACTGTCATCA